CTATCTATCTATCTATCAAGAACAGTATGAGAGAGAGTGAACCCATTTTCAATTTACTAGACATTTTAAAATTCCCCTTCCGAGGAGGCCGCCTTAATTTTCGCCCTGACCAGGGGGCTATGACGGTTTCTCCCCCGCTCACTGGCCACTTCCATTGTACTGAAGGTGGCAAAGAAGCATTTATTGCCTTAAGCAAACTGGCAGAAAAGAAGAGGGGGTCAGGCACAGTTTTCTTTCAGAATCGTCGAGGCCAGGCTCTGCAGGCTCTGGGATTCTCTGGGAACATCCCCCAGCTGCGCGGCACCCCCATGCCTCCCCCACCCGCCCCACAACGGGGGTGGCCTCTTGGAAGTGACCTGTCGTGCTGACCAGGCCCTTAGGATCCTTGGCTATCAGCTTTTAGCTGCCACCGACCCGACCACGGGGTTTGGTAGTGGAAACCGACAGGAGCGAGGCCGGCGCCCGGGGAGGTATTTTCCCTCGGCAACGTGCTGGGAAACCCGAGAGGATTCTACCACCTACCCATTCTGAAGGCATCAGATACCGTAGGGCATTTAGAAAATAAAACTCACCCATTTCTGGATCGTCTGGAGGCACAGTCTGATCCTCGAAAACTTGATAGAAGGTGGTGATTCTGGTGCCGTCGGCGTGGTCCACGATCCTAGTCCCGTCCTTCTTCTCCACGATGGTCACTTTGTCCTCCCGAGTGGTCATGACCTGGACACGCAAAGGGACGGCACAGCATTCACCCCAGGCCGCCTTCGGGGGTCCCATCGAATACCCTGGACAGCCTGTAACTGGTCCACCGGAGGCTGTCTGGTCGCGCTTTCTGCTCCAAGCCTCACCACCAGCCCAGACGCCCGGCAAGGCGAGCCACGCGCCAGGGAGGAGGCGGCGGGCAGCGTGGCAAGTCTGCGCTGCGACTTCTGAAATGCTGCTCCCTCCACCCTCAGGTACTTGTGAGTAAAGTTAACGTCAGGACTGGCCTGACCCAGCCCTTCCTGGGAACACGAGCCCAGGTCCTGCCTCCGTGGACACGGCAGGAGGAGAGAAGATCAACGCGGTCTGCTCACGTGAATCCGGGGGCAGCCCCAAGAACCGCGGGCCTCCGCGGAGGACGCAGGCGCCCGCCACAGCCGCAGGCTCCGCGTGGCCGCCAGCGTGTGGCTGAGAAGGGCTGAGCCCAGAAACCAAGGAAGGCACAGGCCAGGCTTGCGCCGCAGACTCAGGGGCGCGACGGTGCGGCGCAAAGGGTGGGAAAGGCCAGGCAAGCCGTAGAAGCGGCCGGCCCTGACCCTGACCACCTCGAGCCCGGCGCCGGCACCTCCTGCACCCGCCTCGGGCACATTGTTAACTCGCCGAGGCCGGGGTCCTCTTCTGTGGGAATGGGTGGGACAAGGCATTTCAGTGAAAACCCAAACTCTAGGTGCGGCACAGAGAGGGTGGTACTGGGCACCCTGGGAGTTTCGGCGTCACCCAACACATTTTCCATCACACCCACTCACTCTGTGGCGATGCTGAATTCTTCAGTTATTTAGGGTGAACACTTCTTACATACACAGCAAGTGCCTTCAAGTTAAGGATTAGGAAGACATTTCTATCACTTCAGGTGCACACAGAACAGCAGGATGAAGTGACTATCTAAAATAAAGTCGCTCATGTATAAAAGACAAGATGTATATATATATCTTGTATATATATAATATATATCTTGTATATATATATATATATATATATATATATATATAATGTCGATAATGTCATTATTTATATGTCTTAGGAATGGTGTGGAAAATTCACGACCTTTCTCTGATTTCCAAAGTTAGCAATTCATCATCCCCTGAGCTGGCCAATAAGCCACA